GTTGAAACTTCGTACTGACATTACATATGAAGCAGTGTATTGTCGCTGAATGTTGCAAAATATCAGCCGATACAATAAAGAACGTAGGCCAGTCCTTACTTCAACCTACGGAAAAACTAATAACCCATTCGATACCATTTTTCTACGAAACATTTTTCGCTACATGCCACAATATTTAAGTTATCTAGATGTCAAAATCGGTTGAGACACCCTGTATAATAGTTAAAGATATGAAATTCGTAAATTTATCGCAGTACGCGAACGGTTCCTCATTTGTATTTATCCATTTGAATATATACACGGGACGCGGCGACCGATTATGTACCGCAGAAAGTAAGTTAGTAAATATCGCATGCCTAACGGTCCGAGGTGTTAGGTGAAGCGTTCCCGGCAGTACTACTGTCTCATTAAACAGCAATTATAAACTAGGAAACGGCGGTGAATGTTGGTTATTGAGCGCGGCCAACGAATCTAAAATGACAAGAATCTTCGTAATATTTCTCCTCGTCTTGGGGATCTGCCGGGCGAGTTTTCTGCTTGAACATATCGACGAAGAGGATGACTATTTGAAATACAGGCTACCGACCGGCGTAATGACACCGACCGCATACAAATTGCACTACAAGCTTAATTTCGTTAGATTCACATTTCATGGTGAAGTGGACATCACGTTAATAGCGTTGACCACGAACGATACCGTGACGCTGAACTTAAAAGACTTGACAATCTTCGACATTAAGTTCGTGGATTTGAATACAACGAAGACTTTCAGGACTGAGTACCTATTGGACGAAGAGCACGAGATTCTAGTCATCACGGTAAAGCCCCAGTTTGAAAAGGATCATCACTACTCGCTTCAGATAAAATACATTGGAGTTTTGAACGACGATTCGAAAGGATTTTATAGGAGCAGGGTCACGCACATGGGCCAAGTCATGTAAGTCTGCTTGATTATAGATTTTCAATAATTTAAGCGTTCTCGAAAATCATATAAAATTTATTCACTTATTCTTGTTTTTACTTATTTTGCTTGTTAGTTTAAAGTAATAGAGTTTGGAAAATGAAGCAGAATTAATATACCAAATAAGTGATAATTAGCCTTTTAACAAGAAAGTTTAAAATAAAATATCATAATTGTCATCTCTCGAATGTTTTCGAGAAACCTGAACATTCTCGACAATTTCGACATTGTCGAAAATCACGAAATTTACGAGAACCCGTCTTAAGAGAGACAATTTCTCTTCCCGATATTTTCGAGTTCTCACACACCTTTAATATCTAGTAATAATGTTTTACAATCCTGTAAAACTTATGCTATGGATTTTGCTGTCGATAATTTATGTATTTTTGTCCATTATATATAGTTTTACATTTTTCGTGGTTTTTTGCTATAAATGCATAAAATCCACGGTATATTTACTATAAATTGTTCTATTTACTGATTTATTGAATTATATAGGGTAGATGTACCATTTGTAGCCACTGCAACATTTGTGGCCAATACGTTATTTATTCCGACATACAGGGTGGGCCGCATGTCGTAGTACAACCGGACAGGGCATGATTCTACGTTAAAAAAGAAGAAAATATTATGGTATAACATTTTTTCATCCGGAGCTCCGTTTTCGTGAAAATCGACTTCAAAGTTTGTTCAACTTATAAACGATTTAGTACAACTTGCTTGTCGTGCATTCTAGTTATCTACTGCTCTAGTTATCTCTGTCCGGGACAGTGTTTACGAAATTTGACAACGATGGAAAAGCGTCTACACAGTTCAGTTTATAATAAGAGTCATAGTTTATTATTAAGAACAGGAACGTTACCAATATTTAGTATTTGTGTAAGACGAATTTCCAAATTTTTTAGTATTTGTGTAAGACAAATTTCCGTTTTAAATACTGCGTCACCTTCTGCTTTCTCGTTTTTGGGATGACTGAGTCCGCTTCTTGTATTTCAAAATGACTTAATAATCGATAGTGCCAAAAAGGTATTAAATGCAATGTCCGAGATTTCTCTCTTTGCAAAACCGTAATTGCCTTCTCGGTAGGCGTTAAAAATTGTATTAAATTCTTGGCTTCTTGTAAAGTAGTTCGTTTCTTCGCATTAACTGTCGTCTGATTAAGTCATCACTAGGCAATGGTAAGATATTCCAATCAAGAGTACATTGATAGATTGTTGCTCTGAGAGCTTGCACTGGTAATCCCACTGCCGCAAGTATAAATCGTTTACAAGTTAAACAAAATTTGAAGTCGATTTTCACGAAAATGGAGCTTCGGATGAAAAAATGTTGTATCAAAATATTTTCTTCTTTTTTAATGTAAAATCATCTCCTTTTCCCATTGTACTATGATTTCCGGCTCACCCTGTATTAAGTGTTCTAGTGTTAGTTTGATTAAAATGAATAGATCTGCAGAAGCGGGGTAACTTGACATTATTGTACATCGATTCTTACTGCTGCACTATTTTTTTTAATTAAAAAACGGATATAATCGTACTCATTTTCGTTAGCTCCTTATATTCTTAATAATAGTGTTTAACGGATGACTAATAAGGAAACCATTAATTACCGTATTTTATAACAGTGTAAACTAAGTTTTTTACGTATTTGCTTCACGTACCACATATTGCTAAGAATTGTGTAAGAACATTAACGATATAATCTTAGGTAATGTCGAAATTAGATACTGGACAAAAATGATACAACGGAAATGCAATTGTATCACCTTTGGTCTCATAGTGGCCACAAATAGTACATTTCATAACAAAAGTACAAAAAGTATGATTCAAAATTTTCGTGGAGACTCCGACGAATAGCAATTTTTCGTTACACATTAAGCCAGGTAAATGTCTCAATTTTTGTTCACGTTCTAACTTGTACTCACTGGCTTATGTTTCTATCATTTTAAAATACGTTTAAAATTATAGAAAAATAGTGAGTAGAAATTGAAACATTTACTTTAATGTGTAACAAAACGTTCGTGAAAATCTCCACGAAAAATGATAACAGAATAAATAAAAGGAAATTTAAGGTCACACATAGAAGTATACATATAAGGATACACCAGTCAGTAGATGTTGGGACTTGAATAGAAACCAGATTATTTATCTTATATAGCAAACTAACGAAAAAATACTAAGTTGTTTATCCTAATATTAAGAAACTTATTCAATTCTGAAATAGGTACGAATATAGATGGAACCTACTGTATTTATAAAGTTGTGACATCAAGAAATGTCTGTTTCTAATTTACTTAGATTTTGCCAGATACTCCTTGAATCTTTTAAAATGTCAATTGAAACCATTTTTCGAATACTCAATTAATTTCCATTTTGATGGACTTAAGCGTCTTATCCAACGTCGCAGACGACAGACAATTAATTCGTTACATTACATAAAGTTCTGATCTTTTTTTTTGACAAATTACTATCTGTCTCCATGCCAATTAAGTAAAATTCAATTTTTGTTCCATTCTAGCGGGTACGCAGCAACGACTCATTTCGAGCCGACGTATGCTCGACTAGCGTTCCCATGTTGGGACGAGCCTATCTACAAGGCGAAATTCAACATCAGTTTGACATACAATAAGGCATTTCGAGCAATCTCTAATACGGAAGTACTGAAAAAAGAAGAAAATTATGGGATGATGACTACTTTTTTCAAAGAAACCCCACTAATGTCTACTTATTTGGTAGCATTCGTGGTAAGCGAACATCAATTTAAGGAAGATAAAGTCGGCAACTTCACCTATAGGGTGTGGACTAAAAAGAGCGCAATAGACTGGGTTGATTACGCTTTGACAATAAGTAGGAAGCTTCTGGAACAGCTGAACTTGTACACGAATATTTCATACCAGACATATATGCCAGACAAAATAGATCAAATCTCGCAGAAAGATTTCTCGGCCGGCGCCATGGAGAATTGGGGCCTCTTGATTTATAGGTAAGGGGATGGGTTCGAACGTTCGAAGTAGAGATTGCTTTCCCGATGGGATTAACGATAAACGAGTGTTCGCGATACAAAGATAAGGAAATACTTAGAACCGAATTAAAAAAATACTTGCGATTCTCCGCTCCTTGTAGTGAATCACTCGATCAAATTGTTCGATCGAATCGCGGGATGCTCATTTATAAACAGCGGATTTTATGCACACCTAGAAAAATTAAGTAGATTTCATTGTTTCA